GTCAGCTGTGATTGCCTTGTCTTTTAAGATAAAAAAGCTGTTTTTACAGGTTACAAGAATTTGATGACTGCTTTCTGTGTCCCTGACATTTCTTCAGAGTGAGACTATGTCTTGTAATCAGGTGCCAAACATCTGCCACTGCCACCCTCTCACTTCAGCCACACCTGTGTCTTCATCACAGGGCCTCACAGGCAGACACTGTACTACTTGGGCATCCCTCATTTCCCCAAGAGCCATGCTCTCAAAGGATGTATGGAAGCTTAAATGAGTGTTAGCATCAGGCTTGCCATTGAGGACCAGCTCATCCCTGTCTGAAGATTCCTCTAAGAACCCTCTAGCATCCCACTACATCCTGCATCCTCTTTGTCCTGTTTTGTTTCCTTCCCTTTACTAATCTCTGTATTTCACTTACAATTAAATTTGTTTCAAGTCTAGGTTAGTCTGGCCCTGGCCCAAGGCAGGTAATTCTACAACTGTGTGACTCACAGAAGTAATTTTCAAAATCAAAAAGATCTGTGTGTCCCTAAGAAGAATTCTAACTCCAAATGTTAAACTTGTTCCTTTCTGAAATATTAGAGTTCTGAAACTCTGTATTTAAAGTACCTGAGTTCTTATCACAAGTAATGAAAAGATTAACTTTTATTTGCATTTAAATCTAATATTTTATGATATATATTATCCTTAAATATTCCATAAAATTAACTTCCTCTAAAGACAGCAAGTATAAATTATTAACACTTGGTGACACTGTATTTAGATTACTCTCCAAGATGTTATATAAGGCTGAATTACAATTTTCAGAAAGATAAAATCATGACCATCATACAAAATTAAATGTCTGCAAAGGATTTTATTTAAATCATTTATTAATAAAGAAAGCAGTGCTATATTAAAATCATATCAAGAGAACATTTGAAGAATGCACACACACACACACACACACACACACACATATATATATATATATATATGCATATGCACTATAACCTGTGTGATGAAGTAGAAAAAAATAGATATGTGTATGCATTGTGGTTATATCCATAGTACATTCAGAATTCTGAATTCTGAATATTTCCCTACAAACAAAACTCAGGAGCATTGATGTTTCCTGAATGGTTAATGTCAAAAAGGACAAAGATAGACATCTCCCCCTCCCACCATGGACAAATCATTGGCATTGTTATGAAAATTTCATTTTTATTATTATGTTTTCCTATACACCAACTTTTTCTGTAGCTGTGTAAAACAGTCCATTAAACAGAAAGTCAGAAAATCCTAGCACATGAGTCTAGCATTAGATTATCCCACATAGAGTACTGGGTGACAGCTCAGCATCCCACGGAAATGATACCAGAAATACATCTCTCTGGCCCACTGTGAAATCTTAGGCAATTTCTTTCCTAAAAGTATACTGAACGTAAAAATAGACATTTAACACTTTCATCCACCTCATTGAATTCATGCTTGTTAACTATTTGATATGCATACCAGACCATGTTAAAATACCGAGGTAGTATTACATGCTATATCAGGAAAGGACAGTAACCTCCAAACACATCCGAGATTATAGCTTCTGTATTATCATTTTGTGCCAAGGACAGCTGTTGTCCATATAGTGTATACTGTACATGGATGTCTGCTGTATATTTTGCTACACTGTGCATATATTTATATGTGTATATGTTCTTCTAAGATGCCTAGGATATAGAGTGTGTTATTAAGCAAAAACTAAGATCTCACTAATCAACATAATATACAATAAAATTTCTTATTACTTAGGGCTTTTGTTATATATTTATTGAAAATATTCTTCTAGATGAATCAAGACAGGGGAGGTTATTATACATCAGGTTTGAGATTACATACCAAAAGAATTTATGTTAAATAAATTAATGCTTGAGCTTCATTAGAGTCCTACTTCTGAGTTACTTCTATTCAGCCACCAATATCTACTTGTTTCACATGGTATGTCCCGGTGTCAATGAAATCTTCAATGGTTCAAAATTCAAGAGAATTTCTTGCAGAATTTACAATTCATTGGTATCTAAATCTCCTGAGATGTGGTGCTATTACATAATATTTGTTTCACTTCTATTTAGGCATCAGTGCTAAACCTTTATTTTGATCAACTCTCTCCTTATCTCACTACTGCTGTCACAGACTTTGATCCAAAACATTGCAGGCTTTTCTGTGATGTTTAATAGAATTGGTTTCTTTCTCCTTCTTTTAATTTATAAGTGAATATACATATAATAAATTCTATCATCACATCTTGACCAATTCAAATGCTAGCAATTCAGTGTTTAAGAGATGTTAGGAAGCAAAAACATGGAATTTGTATCACCTAGCCCAATATTTATTTCCCAATGAAATTATGTGGAAAGTAGACAAGGAAACCCTGATTCTAGGTAACATAACCAGATAAGGTTCTTGTTCTCCCTGCTAGCCAATTCATCTCAGTAGTAGTAGCTCCTCACAGCATTTGGGTGCATGGTGACAATACTGGACATAGAAATGTTTCATTCATGTATCCACTTGCTTGCTCATTCACTCATTCATTCATTCATCCATTCATTCATTCTTCTGTTCAATATTGATGAAATATAATCTGTGCCAGAATCTATAGTTTAGATGTTGCAACTGAAACTGAATGAGACAGATAAAGTCACTGATGGGCTCACTTCAGAAGTCTTCAGAGCAGGGAGGTTGGAGTCCAAATAAGAACTTGTTTACTCTCCACCAACTTTTTATTTCTTGCTACCTGCTATACCATCTACAAGTACTCATTATAGTCATCTTTGTAATAACTCCCTCATTAGCCAAACTTCAGAGCTAAGACTGGTGTATCAATGTCCCTATTATTCATATATTACTGTTTCTCTTACATGTCAATCATGTTACTATGTGCTTTGTATATGTAGATGTTCCAATGATACAGACATGAATATTTATAAATGCTATATCTTGTTGATGATTATTTAATGACTTTGCCTCTTGAGGCCATTTTTGACTGAAAATCAGATTGGTTTCTGACTCTTTGGGCAACACATGAAAGACTATGGTGGAAAAGCAGAGGCGAAATCTTGGGGCTAGAGCAGGAACATGTAGGGACTACCTAGTTGTCCTAAAGAGTACATATGACCTGGAGACTTGCTGACAGCTCAAATACAGACAGATGGTTTTCTTCATCGATTCCTGTGTTTTTCATGTTAAATTATAGACCACAGTCAGTAAAGACCATAAAATATTACATTTATTGCACTCTGCTGGCCTTTTGTGTAGAACTCATATATAATTATATAAAATTCAAATTTCAAGCTCCATAAATAAAGTTTTATGGGAAAATGCAAAGCTTGAAACACTTACTACCTGGCTCTTTACAGATAAAGAATTGCCGGCGCCCAACTTGTAGCATTTATGTGAACATAGCCCAGATTATTCAAAACCTCGTATAAGAGCATTTTGGTACAAGTACCCCCAAATTATAAAGTCTTTGTCAACACTGACAGTCAAGTGTGCCTACACTTGAGATGTCTCCCTAGGAGTGGCCTAGCACCTCAATACCATGCAACCATTGTCCTTCCACATCACACCCTAAGCTGGTAGAGTAGAAGACAATGGTTCCCTCTGATGCTACCTTCCATGCTCAGCTTCCCATAGCAGCCTGCTCTGGGCCTCCAGCATCTCAGGGTACATTGGTAACAGGTGCCCATACAACTGTGCTCTGAAATGCACTGTCTTTCTTTGAACTTCCTTTGTTAGTCAAGACATTTCTTTTTTGTTCTCTCTTAGAATACCATCTTAAATTTCCTTTGAACAGTATTTTTTTTTTGCAACTATACATAAAAAGGGATTCCACCTACTTCCACTGGTTTTGCTTTCTCTAAGCCTGACAAAAGGAAGGCTTTGATTGTGTCTCTGAACTAAAGGTCTTAGCCAGCCATATGCATGGAAAGGCGAACCAATAGAGTCATAGTCTAATGGTGTGGAACACTCAATAATGTAAGTGGGTGAGGTAGATGGAGAGTTTACTAATGTGGATGTGAAAACAAATATGGTCATTTGATACTTTTGGCTGCAAATACTAAAATATTGTCCACTCTAAATTTAATATGCCCCATGTATACAGTTTGAAAAAGATAACCTTAAATTCAGATGCTGGTTGGAGTTAGAAGCTCAACATTTATTTAAATAAAAGTTGTTGGTTATTAAGAGTCGAAAGAGGCACAAAAATGCTGTATATCTTGGACAGATTATTTATTGCACATGACTTTAGAAAACATAATGATTTCACTTGAATCATCAGGTGTAGGACCCTTCAAACCCCATGGATTGTACAAAAGGTACAATCTTGATTTGAAATTCAAATGTAAGTGCTACTTTTCTCTGAGCTTCAGAAAGAAATGCACTTTCTTTTCATTGCCATTTATACGTCAGGTGCCTCCATCTCAGCACAGCGCAGTGGAGAGAGCAGGTGGTACAGGGAGCACTTTGAATGTTAATTATTTTTTTCATTTATTTCACTGTGAGGATTTGTTTTTATAATCAAGATGGAAACAATTAGAGATCTTGCTGCCTGAGTGTTTCACTGCATTTGTTTTATGACATCTGCCTCAATGAGAGAGAAAGAAGGAAAGAAAGAAAGAAAGAAAGAAAGAAAGAAAGAAAGAAAGAAAGAA